CAACCAGTCTCATGTTCTAAGTCGACCGAGATATTCATGAGACTAAACTGTGCAGAAAATTTCATCACGATCTGCATCTCCTTTCGAAAGTTATCGTGTAAACGGCCGCACGGACACACTGACCGATTCTAGTAGTGTACTCACTTTTTGAGTACACTAAAAAAAACATTCTTTTGAAAATTCTTAGTATGCATATTTTAACATGAACTTTTGGCAGTTTTCTTTCATTATGTAATATAGATGTCATTCAAAAAAAAATGAATTTCGTTACTAAATCAAGGAATCGATATATTAAAGTCGGTTGAATTCAAATAAATATTATTAATCAGAGCTTATATAATTACTATCAGTTATTATTAGGTATTAGAATCTATAGTATAAAAGTTTTTTTTCTTTCAAACTTATCATTAATATAATAATTTCAATTTTAATATTATAAATAAGAAAACAACTTTTAAAATGTTCGAATTTTATCCTATTAAAATAAACAGAATTGAAACAGTTGACTTTGAGTCATCGATTGATTATTATCAGTTGTGAATACATTCATTCTCTTCTTTTAGTTATCTTCATATTCACGCGAACTTCGCTTGTTAATAAGAAAAAAATAAATGTGGAAACCTAGGATTTAAATCCGAGAGTTATGTGTACTTCAAAAAGTGAATTAGACAGATGATTAATCCTAGAATGTCTGGGCATCAATATTATCCTGGCAAGCCTTTTCTATAAACACTTCATTTCTATTGGTTAGTGCTCAACCAATAGGATTCCGAGGCAAGTGGAGCTCAGATTCGAGTTCTCCGCGTCAGAAAACCTCGAAGTATCATCTCTGTGATCGTAAGATAGACCTCTAGTTGTGGATTAATTAGAGCGTGGGCAAAAACAGAACCAATTTCCGTTTAATTATCTTTGCAATAGGTGAGTTAGCCTTCTTGTTTCCTAATGTTTTATATACCATTTTGTAGCTCTGAAATTCTCTATTGAATGGTTTCGAATAGTTGGGGTTTTAGTTGACTATGATAGGAAAAGTTTTTTACGAAAACGGGGATAGATAGATCTTCGCATAGGGAATAATGAATATTTTCCCAATAACTCAGCAATAGCTCGGCAAATCATTCTCATCTTCTTCTCTCGACCGAGATATTGTTGAGACTAAACTGTGTAGAAAATTTCATCACGATCGGACTCTTCTTTCGAAAGTTATCGTGTAAACGGACGGACGGACGGGCACACTGACCGATTCTAGAGTCTATGAACTTTTTCAGTACACAAAAACATATTCATAGACTAGTTCGTTTGTTACTAAAGTGGTCTCGTGTTTCTTTCATATATTATTCTCAATCGTCTTCTAAGCATATCCTCTCAGCTCGATTGAGACACTAGCTATAAAAGAAACCC